AGCAAAATAGCTATTTTCAAATCCAACTCTTTTTCAGTGAGCTTAATGTTATTCTGTTTCCATGTTCATGTAAAAATATATTATGTTTTAATTTTTTCTTAGCAGTCCAAATATATATATACTGGTAAAGTTAACACTTTGAAACTCTTTTAAATATTTAAACAGCAATATTTCCAAAGGGCTCATAAACTTCATTTTCTGCATATGAAACAAGACAATATATCCTGTATGTAGTCTCAAAAATAAAAAGAATTTGAAATCGAATTGCTGCACTCCCTTGCTATTCTTCGCCTTCATATTTTACTATTTTGATCTGAGGAATCCCTGACATTTAGGAGGAATCCTTGAATTAAATCTCAGGGATTCCTATGGGATCCCTGGTAAAAACAGTTAGTGTCGAACCCTGGTAAATTAACAATGTTTTATCAATTGAAAACGAAAGTTGGATTTTGGGGAAATTTATTTCCGCGTGAGGCTAATAATCTTCAATATCAACACACATTAATTAGACTTTTATTAAGCTCTTCCTTAAATGAATTCATAATATTGATTAATAATCGCAACAGCTAGTCCTATTGTATGGGGTATGATTATTAAGGTGATTCCGCTTTGTCAGCCATGTAATAGTTATAGAATATATACGAGGACTTTACAGGCTGGTATCAGCGCATGGGGCGACAACAAGGGTCAATCATAGGAAATTAATCGAGACGGAACGTCGAGATAAATTTCCATGATTGACCCTTTTGTCGCCCAATGCGCTGATACATCGTAATAATATGACAAGGTTGTATAAACATAATTTCCTTACTAGGCAGGGAAACTTAACACATTACTGTGATATATATAGACAAACTTAGAACTCAAAGTTTAAGTTCATTCATGTCATTCATTCACTCAGGTAAAATTGAATTGCCAATGGCCCATCAGAATGTTGCTGGGTTTTAACCGGTAGGGGACTTAATGATTGCTTGCAATACTATGATAATTGCTTGTTCAGTTTGGAATTTAATACATGTACGGAACGTCGAGATAAATTTCCATGATTGACCCTTTTGTCGCCCCATGCGCTGATACCAGCCGGTAAAGTCCGCTGCGTACATACCGGAACGTCGAGATAAATTTCCATGATTGACCCTTTTGTCGCCCCATGCGCTGATACCAGCTGGTAAAGTCCGCTGCGTACATACCGGAAGGTTCTGCAGTGTATACATTCAGATTCAGACCAACCCGTGAAGTCCGAGTATTTATTCTGTAACACTAACTGTTTTATCGCATGACCATCACGACTTTTTTCTTGGAGATTTACGCTCTCTCGTAATATTTGCTTTATTTTAACATATAAACTACTTCCATAAGAGGGCTTGGATGATATACAATACACAAATTGGCATATACATAGTAATATTATCCGCACTGTAGGTGATATATTTGGATGATATACAATACAGAAATTGGCATATACATAGTGATATTACCCGCACTGTAGGTGATATATTTGGATGATATACAATACACAAATTGGCATATACATAGTGATATTACCCGCACTGTAGGTGATATATTTGGATGATATACAATACACAAATTGGCATATACATAGTGATATTACCCGCACTGTAGGTGATATATTTGGATGATATACAATACACAAATTGGCATATACATAGTAATATTACCAGCACTGTAGGTGATATATTTGGATGATATACAATACACAAATTGGCATATACATAGTAATATTACCCACACTGTAGGTGATATATTTGGATGATATACAATACACAAATTGGCATATACATAGTAATATTATCCGCACTGTAGGTGATATATTTGGATGATATACAATACAGAAATTGGCATATACATAGTGATATTACCCGCACTGTAGGTGATATATTTGGATGATATACAATACACAAATTGGCATATACATAGTGATATTACCAGCACTGTAGGTGATATATTTGGATAATATACAATACACAAATTGGCATATACATAGTAATATTACCCGCACTGTAGGTGATATATTTGGATGATATACAATACACAAATTGGCATATACATAGTTATTACCCGCACTGTAGGTGATATATTTGGATGATATACAATACACAAATTGGCATATACATAGTAATATTACCCGCACTGTAGGTGATATATTTGGATGATATACAATACACAAATTGGCATATACATAGTGATATTACCCGCACTGTAGGTGATATATTTGGATGATATACAATACACAAATTGGCATATACATAGTGATATCATAGTATACCCGCACTGTAGGTGATATATTTGGATGATATACAATACACAAATTGGCATATACATAGTGATATTACCCGCACTGTAGGTGATATATTTGGATGATATACAATACACAAATTGGCATATACATAGTGATATCACCCGCACTGTAGGTGATATATTTGGATGATATACAATACACAAATTGGCATATACATAGTGATATTACCCCACTGTAGGTGATATATTTGGATGATATACAATACACAAATTGGCATATACATAGTGATATCACCCGCACTGTAGGTGATATATTTGGATGATATACAATACACAAATTGGCATATACATAGTGATATTACCAGCACTGTAGGTGATATATTTGGATGATACACAATACACAAATTGGCATATACATAGTAATATCACCCGCACTGTAGGTGATATATTTTGATGATATACAATACACAAATTGGCATATACATAGTGATATCACCCGCACTGTAGGTGATATATTTGGATGATACACAATACACAAATTGGCATATACATAGTGATATTACCCGCACTGTAGGTGATATATTTGGATGATATCACAGGGACATGGAGAGGCAGTTTCTTAAAATTTGCTACTGTGTCTAAATGTGTTTCTGTTTTTGTTACTTTTGAAAAACACACTAACAAATGACTTAAAATTTAATGCTGACCATATAATCATTATTACTTTTTATGTTTGTGCAATTAAAAAATAAAATAAATTAAGTTTAAAGCATTGTATCTTTTCCAGGTTTCGAGCCCCATAAATTGAATTGAGATTAGGCAATAGAAAATAAATAACTAGATTCTCATCCAAGTTTTGGGAAAAAATGGGGCGGGTGGGTGGATTTTAATTTTTATTTTTTATTTTCCATTCTCGGTCTGGAATTACACACAAGGAGGTCAATATATGGGAATTTGTTCTATATAATAGGTTGTAATATTATGTGTACATGTATGTAAGATATATAGATTCAGATTATCATTGAGAATAGAAGCAACATGATAATATATCTTGATCGTAATGATCCAGCTGTTTTATTGAACCTTTCATATTTTGACATCAAACCAATTGATGTTTGGACAAAATATAAAAAACAATATACATGTATAAATCTACATGTATTGTTACAAAATAAGACATCTTAATTTTATAAAAGAGTTGAATAAATATGTACTATGCCTATGCCGATCAATAGTGCTTTTAAATGAGTAAATTAATTGATTCAACCAATGAAGCTACACAAAAAGACAATCCTATTTATATATCACATTGCAAAAATAACATCTAAGCTATTGAAAATTTGGCAAAGAAAGTACAGAGATTTACCTATTATATTAAAAAGCTATCTTATTTTCACTTTCATACCATGACTAAATATTATAAAGATTACATACAAAATCAAGCAGCACGCTGACCATGAAGATTCTAAGCGAAATTCATTTTTAAGGCCACAAGGACCGGCACCCTATTGTTAATTTTTGGTTCAGATGATTATTTCAGGCTGTGACATTTCAAGTATTATCTGATAACAACCTGGGTGAATGTCAAAATGACGGCTTTTCTTAGTGTGGCTTTCAATGAAGAAACAAAACAAAATGTGGACGGTAAAAATAATCATGGTCCTCACTAGGATTTTCAAAATCCTGAGACTCCCAATTCTGCTGTTTCTTCTTGATTAATTCCATCATGGAGCTTGTATAATATATCTGTGATTCCACACACCCTCTCCCTTAAGAAAATATCCATTGTACAACACACACTGGCAAATGTCTCATTCTAAACTAATGTAAACAATACAGTAAGTAAATTTAATTAATAAACTATATTTAAAGTGTTATTGGACAAATTTTATCAATACAAGGCTTCCTTTTGGTGACTTCTTTTTTTATTATAAAAATCGGCATCGCGAAAATATGTGACAAACGAAAAAATGTCTGTTTCCTGCATAACCATTCACAATTCTAGTTGTTGTTGATTTTGATTTTATCAGATTAATTATTTTATGAGTATTTTTAGATTGTTATTCAGCTGCTATTTTAAAAGGCACTGTAAAACAAAATTTCAAAATTTGTAATTTACGGCAAAATTTACCGATGCTGTTTATGAACTGCTGTTTATTTGAATATTTGACTTGTCCAAAATTGGTCTTTTGTGGTTCAAACTTCAATATAGTTTAAGTTCTTTAACACATTTCATTTTAACTATCAAAACAGGTTATTTTTAGCTGTTAGAAATTTTATTTGGACCCGAGGATTTTTCACGGTCGGTCCGCATGATCGATCTTTATTCAGACAGGACCGAGACTGACGGTCTTTCGGCCGCACAGATGATGATACACTTATATACTTTATGTACTCGGCATCCGTACACATTAATCAAGCTAAACACTTACTTATTTTTCTTTTTTTCCTTTTCTTTCTTTCTTCTTTCTTTCTTTTTTTTTTTTTTTTTTTTTTTTTTTAAAAATCGTTCGGGCGGAGCAATTTTTGCCGGGCGGGCGGGGATGAGAATCTGGGAATTTATTTTCTATAGCCTTATGAATGAAATTACATGTATACGTGATCAATTTCGTTACATAAAAAATATTACATAAAAAATATGTTACAAGTTACACAAATTCTATATGCATTTTTTTCATCTGGAAATTATTTCATACATGTATTTTATTTTTGTATATTAATATATCAACCTTTGTCCTCAGGTAATCTTAAAGGGTGATAACATGGCATCTTCCTACAACAATTCCTCTGAGGAACAAACAGAACTACGCAGACTTCACATTAAACTTATCTCTGAAATTAACGATAATTTAGATAAAAAAAGCATAGAGTATGAAAAATTATTTTTTCATTTCGGAACTTATGTGCCTCGAGGATTAATTGCCAATAAATCAAGTCTAGATAAATTTGAAACTTTATGCACCAGAAACATCATTACACCAGGAGAAAATTATGAAAAATTGAAACAGATATGTCGAGACAGTGGAAATGATACTCATGTAAATACAATAGAAAAATATGAAAAGGAAATGGAAAAAGTTCGATCTCGACATAGATATACAGGTATGTACGAATAGAAATTCAAGTTTATCTGAAAGAAGAAAAAAAACACATTTTTATTTGATGTATACAGATATTGCATACTACGTCGCCCTTTTGAACCAGTTACTAAACATACATATTATAATGTAATTGCATACTACGTCACCCTTTTGAACCAGTTACTAAACATACATATTATAATGTAATTGCATACTACGTCACCCTTTTGAACCAGTTACTCAGGGTTCTCACTTGGACTTTAAAACATGGAGTCCATGGACTCCCAACCCTGAAAAAGTTGGAGTCCAAAAACGCATCGCAATTAGTATGTTTACAGATTAGTCATTCAATGCTCACAATAGCATTGCTGATATTTTGAATCTTCAAAAGACTTCCAAAGTTTATAGTTATTCAAAAGAAACTCTGAACTACATAGATAATTATTGTTTTGTTGTTAATATTTATTATGAAATTATCTTATTATAATGCATCAACACATGGAAATCGTTTTTTGTTGTTTTTTTCACTTTTATACCAAATTAAATTTTATTCTGGTTAAATAACTTATAAGTCCACTCTAAAGACAAAAAGTTTATATTTGTAAAAAAAAAACGTAAATGTATATAGGCAGCGTTTAGCGGAATGAATAGGAAAATCGTGTACAGCTTCACACAGTGTGTAAGAGATTCATCCGATCGACAATTATTTTAGCAAATATCTTTAAAAGGGGGCAAATTGAAGATCGATATTTAAAGATTTAATGTTGATTAAATATTAAAGGAACAATTCATTCGCATGTTTGGCTTGGAAACCGAGAATTTTTGCAAATTTTTAGGGTTTCTGGCGAACGTGAAATCGCCGATGTTCGGGACCAATTTTCGAATAGAATCTAAATATCAACGAAAAGCGTATGTGTATTTTGGTTTGTTGTCCTGGCATTTCGGCACAATATCTTAATTTCTTAATACTCTTATAAAAAGTTTTTGCAAGAATGAAACTAAAGCAAAATTGTGCATAGAAAATGCCGAAAATATTCGACAATCATTCAAAATTACACTCATTTGTAATTTGAGAAAACAGTCTTTAAACTTGCGGCTTAAATAGTCGATAATTTTATCCTTTTGTCGGTAAAATTTGATAATTTCCAATCAACTGTTGATCAAAGATATAAAATTATCACCTCGTGTTATATCTGGTAATTACATGTACTATACAGCGCGTGTATACACGTGTATCACTATTGCGTGATAATGATCGGAAGCGTTATCGCTGATTGGCTAATCGCTTCACGGGTCGATGTGCATAGGACCGCCTACATAGACTGACACGCGCTGACGCATTTGTGTATTTGCGGTTGTAAACAATCGGTAATGTTTATGCGTCCCCAGGCAAAATTAAGCGTACGTGGAATCCTTGCTCTGAAATATTTGCGTCCAGCTGTAATAAACATGCGTACCGGGACGCCGAAATAAGCGTCCCCGAGAACCCTGGTTACTTAATGATTACAAAAACAGTCAAAGATATGAATGATATTTTAAAGATTACTACTACGGTATATATATTTTTCAAGATCTTCTAAATTACTAGTACTTGTATTCATTAACTGTCTGAACTATTACTTTAGAACGGTAATCATGTTTTTATTAGTCCCCTACTGGTTTAACCGGAGGGGACTTTTGGTTTACCGTCAGTCTGTCTGTCCATCTGTCTGTCAGTCCGTCCGTCCACAAAACTGGATCCCGCGATTACGTAAAAAGTACTGAAAATCTTTTTATGAAACTTGATATATAGATAGATGGCAGATTATACGCGTCTTTTTCTTTTCTTCCTATGTTGAAAATTCTGGTTGCTATGGCAACAAATAGACTGGATTTTAAGATTTCTGATTTAAATTTTTCAGCTTTTTCACTATAAGTTCTTGATTTCTTAAGGTGTTTACTTCAAACTTTAAATACAAGTTTCTAGTCATCAACCACATTATATGTGGCAAGGCACAAAAATTATCAGTACTACCTCCCTTGAACTTAGAATTTTTATGAAAAAAAAGTTGTCTTTTTTAAATAACTTCTTTATTTTCTAATGTACAGTACAGATACAGGGACTACCTTGGACTGAAAATTTAGGGAGAAGTGACTTCTCCCTTCAGAAAAAAATAGGGAGAAAATTTAAAATTTAGGGGGAAGTGATCATCAAATTGGGTTACATCATTGGATTTTTTTTCTAATTTTATTTCACAAAATATACATGTACACCTTTATATGTACATGCATATGAAATATACATGTATATGGCATGGAAAATAAATAAATGTGTATTTGAAAATCGCTATGATGATATTTAATGAAGTATTAGTTGCTCAATAAAGTTTATTTAAGTATTTCATTTACATCAACACAATATTTTTAATTTTTTTTATGTTTAACAGTTTCTGACTCTAACTTTTAAATGCAATTTATTAAGAAGAAAAGTTCTTAAATTCATAATAATTATCCAAATTCTATCAATTTACATCAGTTTTAATGATGAATATTACTATCATAAATGTAATGGTGATAACAAACATATATGGGATATTGTAAATCAAACAGGACGGTGTACGGACATAATCCCCTTCGGACAAAATCCCCTTCATGTATTTTTGTATATCTGGACATAATCCCCTCCATGGGTGGACATAATCCCCTTCATGTGTGACATTCAAACAGGACATATAGGGTAACTAGTAAATCAAACAGGACATTATAGTGGAAATTGTAAATCAAACAAAACGTTTAGGGAATAATGTAAATCAAACAAAATGTATAGGGGATATTGTAAATAAGACACAAATATACGTTTGAGGTAACTTAATTATGAATTAGCTTGCTTTTTCATGTTTTTATCATCTGCTGCATTCATATCAGCTTTAATTTACCGTATAATCAATGCGCTATTTTTAGCAATGTGGGTTTCCAAGTGTGAATTCCAAATGTCGCTATGGCCACGCTTCAGCGCGTGTGCTAATTACATCAGATTACACAATTAAATATGCCTTCAGGCAGTATTATAGAGTGGAGAAATATACATGTCAGACATTTCATAGAGATTTTAGGGCGACTAGAATTTCGCTTTTCAGATCATATAGGGCGAAGTAAGAATATTTACGGCGAAGTTTTCGCCTGACTCCGCCCTGAACGCAGTCCCTGCAGATAACGAGGAATATGCAAATTCCTGCGAGTAACGAATAATTACAAAAAAAAACGTGACTCCAAGTGGATTATAAATTTCTTGTACATAAAAGAGTGACTCCGCGTCGATAACGAGTGACAATTAAGTCCGCAGGACTCTGTGAATCTCCGAGCCAAAAAGAGTGACTCCGAGTAATGGTATGCTTTATTTATTTATTAATTAATATAATGCTCTACCTCTAAGCTAAAATCCTTTAACGCATGTACATGCATTATTCATTCAAAATAAAAATGTTGTCGAAAATTCTTCGTTGATGTAAAGTATCTAAAGTGAAACTTGATTCATTAATATCTAAAGGAAAGAATAACCAATGATTTCCCGCAATTCCCGTGTCACACAGTGACAAAAACTTTTGTTTTATTTAGGAACTGTCGCAGTGATTTAATAGGACTAGAGACATTTAAAGATTAATGAAGTTTATATAATCTGAATTATTCTTATTTCATAAAGAAGTATACAAAAAAGTTGGGCCGTTATTATATGTTGTTTTTTTAGCTCACCTGTCACAAAGTGACAGGGTGAGCTTTTGTGATCGCTTTTCGTCCGGCGTCCGGCCGTCGTCCGTCCGTCGTCCGTAAACTTTTACTTTAAATGACATCTCCTCATAAACCACTAGGCCAATTTCATCCAAACTTCACAGGAATGTTCCTTTGGTGGTCACCTTTAAAAATTGTTCAAAGAATGTAATTCCATGCAGAACTCTGGTTGCCATGGCAACCAAAAGAAAAAACTTTAAATATCTTCTTTTAAAAACCCCTAAGAGCTAGAGCTTAGATATTTGGCATGAAACATCTTCTAGTGAGTGTCTACCAAGTTTGTTCAAATAAAAGCCCTGGGGTCAAAATTGGCCCCGCCCCAGGGGGTCATTGATTTTCCCTATATGCATATAGTAAAAACTTAAAAAAATTTCTTTTAAAGAACCCAAAGAGCTAGAGCTAAGATATTTAGCATGAACCATGTTCTAATGAGTGTCTACCAAGTTTGTTCAAATAAAAGCCCTGGGGTCAAAATTGGCCCCGCCCCAGGGGGTCATTGATTTTCCCTATATGCATATAGTAAAAACTTAAAAAATCTTCTTTTAAAGAACTCAAAGAGCTAGAGCTAAGATATTTAGCATCAAACATGTTCTAATAGGTGTCTACCAAGTTTGTTCAAATAAAAGCCCTGGGGTCAAAATTGGCCCCGCCCCGGGGGTCATTGATTTTCCTTTTATGTGTATAGCAAAAACTTAAAAAATCTTCTTTGAAAAAACCCAAATAGCTAGAGTTTAGATATTAAGCATGAAACATCTTCTAGTGAGTGTTTACAAAGTTTGTTCAAATAAAAGACCTGGGGTCAAAATTGGCCCCGCCCCGGGGGTCATTGATTTTCCTTATATGTGTATAGCAAAAACTTAAAATCTTCTTTGAAAAAACCCAAATAGCTAGAGCTTAGATATTAAGCATGAAACATTTTCTAGTAAGTGTCTACAAAGTTTGTTCAAATAAAAGCCCTGGGGTCAAAACTGGCCCCGCCCCAGGGGTGTCATTGTTTTTAACTATAATATGTGTATAGTAAAAACTTAAAAAAATCTTCTTTTTAAAAGCTCAATGTGCTAGAGCTTAGATAATTAGCATGAAACATCTTCTTATGGGTGTCTACCAAGTTTATTCAAATAAAAGCCCTGGGGTCAAATTGGCCCAGCCCCAGGGGGTCATTTATTTTCCCTATATGCATATATAGTTAAAACTTAAAAAATCTTCTTTTAAAGAACTCAAAGAGCTAGAGCTAAGAAATTTAGCATCAAACATGTTCTAATAGGTGTCTACCAAGTTTGTTCAAATAAAAGCC